ATGTGTGTATGAGTGTGTATATGTGTGTGTACAGGTACGTGTGTATAAGCGCATGTGGAGTTTGTGTGTTTGAGTGTGTGTACAGGTCCGTGTGTGTATGAGTGTGTGATTTCACAGCTGTATGAGCGTGTGCGTGTACAGGGGTGGCGGGGTGCATTACAGGAGGCCAAGCAGCAGCACCCCTGGACCCTGCTGGCCTGACACCAGGCTGCCTCTAGGTGCTGTCAGGCATCCTTGGGGCAGTCTGGCCCAGTGAGAGCCACAAGGTGCCGTGAGTGGCCAGCAGCTGGGCCTCCTGGCTGGGCCTCCTGGCTTCTGTGCATGTGAGCTCCCTGGAGCTGACCAGCTGTAGGGCCAAGCTGGCCATTTCTGGCAGCTGGAGCCTGCTCTCTGCTGCTCTGAGTTGGGCCCCGGAAGCGGTGCTGCTGGGCCATCATCAGCCCCAGCTCACCTTGTGGAACAGGGAGGCAAAGACCTCCTGGTGGCTGCTCATGTCCACCCCACCGCACACGCGCAGCAGCTCCTCCTCGTCCTCGGCCTTGGCCTCCTCGAAGGCCTCCAGCTGGATTAGCAGGTCCGCATCCTCGATGTCCCTGAGGTGAGGGTGGTGGGGTCAGCCTGCTGTCCTGCCCGCCTCACCTGGCCAGCTGAGCCTCTCCTGCCTGCTGAGCTGGGAACCCGAGGACTCCTGGCAAAGCCTGGGATGCCACCACTGATGTCTGTGGTCAGGCTGTGGCCAGGCCTCAAAAGTAGGGCCCCACGGCCAGCACATGGCAGAGCTCTGTGGTCAGGCCTTTGTGACTGGTTTGTGGCTGCTGTACATGTGTCTGTTGGTGCAAATATGGTTATGTGGGCCTGGGAAGGTGATGTGATGGCCTTGGCTTGCACCCTGAAGCCTGCCCACGGCCCATAGGTGGCTCCTATGGTCCCTGGGGAAGGGTAGAGCAGATCTGCACCGTGCCAGATGTGGAGGGGACAGGAGGCTGCTGCCTGCAGCCCCAGGGACCCCTCCCTGCTCCCCAGGAGGGGCTGCTGGCCTTGGAGTGAAGGTGGTCAACTCGAGGAACTCACCGCAGCCTGGTCAGGATGTCCAGCAGCTGTAGCCCTGGGGAGGATGGTGTCCTCATCAGTCCCAACTGTTTGGTCCTGCCCCCCACTCCTTAGAGCACCATGTCTGGGGTAGGACAGGTGGGGACACCTGGCCTGTGTCCCACCTGCAGGAGATACTAGTTCTTGCTCAGTGATGACTCCAAGCCAGGCCTTAACCCTCACTGCTCAGCTGGCTTCTCTCTGCAGAGCCCACCAGGACTCAAAACTGCCAGCAGTGGAGGCCGTGTGAGGGCATGGGTTTGCTGTGCTGCCCTCCCTGGGGGAGGCTGATGGCCAGGCTGGTAATGACCCCCAGGAGGTCATTACCTGGGGAAAGGTTTGTGGTAAGGAAGGCAGGTGGGCAGGCATGTTGGTGGGTAGGCACGCTGGCAGGTGGGCACATACCAATGAACTCGTTCCGCAGCTGGCTGCGCGTTCGGAGGTCCTCAGGGCCCAGGATGAGAGCGTTGATGACACTGAGCAGAGTGACCACGTAGGGGACGTTGTCGCTGTCCGCAAGCTCGTTCATGATGACGCTGAAGCGGTACTGCTGGCTGCACACCGCCTGGGGGGATCGGGCCTCAGCCTGCGCCCCAACCTCGCCTCCCCATCTCCCCACCTCCCCACCTATGCCTCCCTCCCCTCCTTCTTCCCACTTCCTAGCCGCTCTTCGCCTCTCCCCCTCCCCAGCCCTGCCTCTGCCTCCCCATCCACCCCCTCACTACAGCTCTGCATCTATCCTCCTGAAGCCCCACCTCCATCATCCTAAAGCTCCGCCTCTACCTTCCCCACCCCCCTCCCCTTCTGCGGCCCACCCTCCAGCGGCCTCACTCACCTTGTAGTGGTCCAGGGCATCCAGGGTTAGTTCATGGCCCTCGGGAGAGTAGATGCACAGGGCAGCCAGCAGCTCAAACACCTGCTTCTTGACCATCACGTTAGACGTGTCCAGAGCTGCAGGGAGTGGGGGGTCTCACGTGGTTCTGCGTTGCTCCCATCCCCTGCACCCGCCTCCAGGCCTGAACCCCACTTGACAGGTGAATACCAGAAGGCACGCTGCTCCCTGCGCCTCTGGGACCCAGGGCAGACACTGACCGGGAGGGCTTCGAGGCTAGGGGTATCCATCTCAGGACATAGGCTTTAATGCTAAAGGGCCCCATTGCTAAGCACCTCCTGTTGGTGGCCGGGGCCATCACCCACATAAGCACATGTGCCCTGATAAGCCCACTACTTCTCCAAACTCAGCCCTTTGACCACTGGGCCTCATCCCACAAGCCCTGCCTTCACCATTCCCAGAGTGGGACAGTCTAGGGGTGGCTTAGCTCTGGGACAGTCCACCAAGCACACTGTGGGGCCTTTCCTGAGGACTTGGGATGCAGAAGGGACCAAGGACCCTGCAGTCTGAGGTGGCTTCCTGGATGAGGTGTCAGTGAGCTGGATTTAGAGGATAGTCAGGGCTTTGCTGGGCACAGGAAGATGGCTGAGTGAGAGGTGGAATGTGTGCTGGAGAGGGCCACGGGGGTGGTCAAAAGTGAGGGCTTCTCTGAAGGGGAGGGAGGCCCAGGGGACTTAGAATTTTGACTTGAGGTGACTGCAGTCACAATGGTGTGGATGAGGAGCTGAGGGGCGACAATGCCGAGGTCAAGGAGTGGCCAGAGGACAGTGAGAATGAGGGGCAGCTGGAAGGAAGGACAGGGGTGCGCCCTGCAGGAGAGGGCTGGGGAGGAGACAGATGGGGCCTGGCACTCTCCAGGCAGTCTTCTTTGGCTGCCCCAGGCTGCAGCCCCTGAAGCCCTGCGCTCACCCTGAGAGAGCTGGCGCACGTAGCCCTGGTTGCTGAGGATGTACTCCAGGCCCTGGCGCGAGTTGAGGACGGCGCGCACGCAGCTGACGCAGGTGAGCTGCAGCAGCGCGTTGGCGATGCGTGCCACCCCACGCCCCGACAGCCGTGCCAGGGCCTCCAGCAGCAGGTCCAGGCCACTCTGCTCCAGGAACTGCACCATCCAGCCGCCGTCGCTGCTCTCCAGACGCTTGCGCAGGCCAGAGTAGTTGACCACCGATGGCATCTGCAGCAGCCGGATGCACAGCTCAGGGTCCGCGCTCTCCAGGTTCGCCTCCGTGGGGTCCGAGTCCTGGGTTCCCAGCTTCTCCTTGAGTGCTGTCCACCTGCGCTGGGCGCCCTCCTTCACCGACATCTTGCCCAACTGTGGAGCCAGAGGAGACAGGGCCATCAGCCTTAGGCCAAACCCAGCCCACGGCTCTAGGTGGCTGCAGCCTTCTGCCTCAGTTTCCCCTTGCTAAGCAGCCATGTTTGTCTGGCTTGTCACCTTCCGTGGGCTTCCCTGTCCCTGGGCAGTGTGGTTGGTGAACGTGCTGAGGTGCTCACGGAAGGCCCCCTGGAGAGACCCTGCAGGCCATGTTGAGCATTGGGCAGCTGTCTTCTCTTCCGCTAGCAAGGGAAGCCCACGGGACAGGTAGGGACAGCCCTGGTGTCCTGAGGAGGACCCTGACCCTGAGCTTGGTGCCAGGATACCCCTAACACAGGCCACTGTGGTCCCATCTGCAGAACCATGGGCTGCACTGCCCTGGGCATCAGTAATTCACAGTGGAGCCCTAAGAGGCTGGCATCTGAATCTCCCAGGTGCATCAGCCCTGTGGATCAGGATAAGTTGCCCCCCCTGAACCTGTGGACCAGTGAGAGCTGCCCCCACTCCTATGGACCAGGGGTGAGCTGTCCCCTTGAATCTGTGGACCAATATGAGGTGCCCCCACCCCTGTGGACCAGGGTGAGCTGTCCCCCTGAACCTGTGGACCAGGGTGAGGTGCCCCCAACACCCCTAAGGACTACATGAACTGCCCCCCACCATCGTGGACCAGTGATAACTGCCTACTGCTCCTGTGGGCCAAGGTGAGCACCACGCCCGTCCTGGGCTACCCACGGCCTGAGGAATTATGGCTCTTTCCTCAGCTGAGGAAGCCTGAGTCACTTGACCACACCCCCCCCCCCGAGCACAGGGGGAGGGAAAGGGGGAGCCCGCTGGGCCATGGCTTCTCTGGACCCATTTGTCCACCTGGGGTGGGCAGTGCATCCCCATACCCGAGAGCCTCTCTGCTCAGAGCACCAGCCAGGCCATTCCAGACCTCCAAGGGAACACCTCCAGAGAGTGAGGGTCCCATCTTCCAGCAGTTGCCTGTGCAAAGTCTAGAGATTGTGAGGGGGATGGGGTGGGGGTGCCTGGAGGTGCTGCCCCTGCTGTTGTCCCAGCCTCACTCCCAGGTCCCCAGCTCAGGCTGGAGCGGGATTCAGTAGACCACAGCCCCTGGGGACGGCCTCAAAGGTCAGGGGCCTCCCAGGCTCCCTGCATCCATGTAAGGCTTCAGTCTTATATTTAGCATCTGGGAAAGGCTGCTCAGGGCCTGGGGGCGGTTCTGCCTGGGGGGCTGGCAAAGCTGAGCCTCCTTCCCCCCTGTGCTGTGCCACTGGCCCCACCTACCGTGTGAGGAGGCACCCCACTTCACAGAGGGGCATCCAGAGATATGGTCCAGAGAACTGGACTGCCCACTCAGGGTCACACCAGAGGCCGTGACTGCCCAGCATGGGTTGCTGGGGAATCTGCTCAGCAAAGCGGGAGTCCCTGGGCTGAAGGAGCCATCTGTGCTCATAATGGAAACAGTGTCGAGAACCCACGTTCTCATCCTTGGGGCCCCTCCCTGGCTGCCCACCCATGTGGCTCAAGGGACTGCTGGGTAGCTCAGCGGCATCCTGCCTGCGGGGTCTTGGGGGCCCAGCTCCCCTCCTTCCCAGGTGTCCTTCCAGGGGAGTTTCCTTTGGGTGGACAGACCCTGGCTTGTCCAGGTCACCAAGAGTGCCCAAGCCTCAGTGTCCTCATTGTGTTTCCAGGGCAGGGCTGGGATCCACAGAAGCAGTGACCACTCTGGGGTCAGTGAGGTGTACATCACCCCTCCCCAGGGCCCTGGTGGTGCAGTGATTACAGCACTGGTAACCAAAAGGCCTGAGGTTCAGACCCCCCCCCCCCCCCAGCTGCCTCTCCAGAGAAAGATGCTTGTGTGCTGCGTGTGTAAGTAAGCCTTGAAAACCACAGGGCAGTCCTGTGATCTGCTGGGTGGCTGTGCGTCTGCCAAGCGGGTGTCTGGGGTCCCCCCCACCGGCTGGAAATGACCCCCCTTTGGGGCCCTTCTTCACTCACCCAGATTCTCAACACCTTCCGGCCGCCTCTGCGCGCCCACTCGGCACCCTGCCCCACCGCCCCCTGGCCTCTCATGCCTGCTGCCCACTGAGGGCTCAGATGCTGTGCAGCAGGCCCTTCCAGCGCAGCCTCAGGTTCCCGAAAGCCTTTGTGGGGAGTAGCTGTTTGCACCACCAGGATGAGCAGGCAAAGGGCCCTCTTCTCCCGCCCACCTGATGCTGCTGCTATGGGACAGAAATGACCGCCTCCCTGTCCCCGCCACCAGGGCCCAGTCCCGCCCCGTTGCCACCAGCTGAGTGGCTGGATCTGGACTGGCCCCAGGACAGGCAGCCATGCACACACAGCCTCTTCCTGCCCCAAAGCACCAGGCAAATGCCCCAACACCTCAGTTCCTGGAAGGACCCCTCAGCAGATGCAGTGCTGACCCTGTCGTGGCCCTGCCCATGCCTCAGCGTCCAGGCTCAGGGCTCAGTCCCCTGGGAGACTCGCTCTCCAGGGGCCTCCTTACTGAGGACGCTTTCCACTGGAGGGTCCCATGCCCGTGTGCCCTGGGTGCCATACAGGTCAGCTGTGCCTACTGTGTACTATAGGGTGACCTATGGTGATCGTGGGGATGGGGCGTTCTGCTGGCTGCCTGAGGGGCTGAAGGTGTACCCCTTTTATGCCTGTGAGGCCCCCGTTGTCTGGGTGCCACGGGTTCTCAATCTAGGCCATCCTCTGCTTCCTGCTCTCTCCAGGGGTGAGGAAGCGAGCCTGAGGGCGGGCAGCTATGGAAGGGAACCAGGGAGCCCACACCTGCCCAGGGGCACTTCACCTGGAGGAAGACCAGGTCACACCCAGGCCCCAGGCTCAAAGTCAGGCCGGGGTGGAGCCAGCGGGTGCTCGGTGAGGCTGCAGAAATGCAGAAACTGGACTGGGCTGACTGTAACACCCGAGGCCTTACAGTCTGGAATTTCTGGTTGTTTGCAGCCCCAGGCGGCACTTTCCTCAAAGCAGGGCGTGGCCATCTGGGTTTCTTCGGGTCTGGTCACCTTGCCCAGGGCCAGCCCCAGCCCCTCCCGAGGGCGCACCCCAACCGCTCCTCTGGAAGCAAGAGGAAAGGGATGTTTCTCTGGCCAGATGGCAGCCTGGCCTCACCATCGAAACCTGTGGGCGTTGTATAGCAGCCATTTAGGACACTTTCCTCCCCGTGCTGGCTCTGCTGGCCAGGGCCCTGCCTCTCCTTGCTCCTGTGTGAGGTCTGCCCAGCTCACCTGGCGGATTCACCCTGCCCCCCAGCCACTTCTCGGGGGCTCTTTGAGCCCCGCAGGCAGCTGGAGGCCTGGACCAGGACGCTGGCACTGCCTGCTGGACGCCCACATGCCCAGGCAGCTGCGCTGACGCAGGGGAAACCACGGCCCCCGCCTGGCAGACGTGCCTGGAGCTGAGCATGTGGGGAGACAGGGCCCGCTCTCCCCCATGCGCGGTGCATGGGCACCTAGGCCTGCTGTACAGACCCGCCTGTGAGGGTGTCCTATGCCACGGGTGGGGGCACCAAGCTCCCGGGGCTTTCGGGGACTCATCATATCCAGTTACTGCCTAGGGGCCCTGGCATTTCAGAACCTCCCTAATGTTCCTGGACTCTCAGCCTTGTAGACCCCGGCTCTAGCAGGGGCCCAGCTTGGAATCTGGTCCTTGGGGTGCTGGTTTCTGTGCTTCCATCCCTGCAAGGGTTGTGGGGACTTAGGGGCTGAGACCCCCAAGGCAGACTGGGGGCAAGGCAGACACAGGGCACTGGATCCTGGGGTGAGAGGCAGCCTCAGACAGGATGAGGTGCTCCTGGGCCAGAGTTGGTGAAAGTGGGGTGCAAAGGTGTGAACTTTGCCCCCTCACCATGACAGGCACTGCACTCCCGAGGGAGGCAGGGTGGCCTGTTACGTTCTTAGCGTCTGTGTGCACCAGGCTGTTCCGAGACCTGACAGCCCTCCCGTTTCCCGGGCCGTCCCTCAGCTCCCTGGGCTGGTGCAGTGCAGGGCATGTGTTTGCGTGTATGTGCATGATATGCAGGGGGCTGCTGACCTGTGACCTCCAGCCTGTGAGTCATCTAGCCCCAGGGCTGTGAGGGGGCTGAAGGGAGGCCTGCCATGGTGTCTAATGAAGGTAGGTGGGTGGGCTGCCGTCACCTGAAGGGACATGGTGACTCAGAGGGGCTTCCGGTAGGGGGAAGGGGTAGCCACACACGACATGGAGTCATACTGGTGTAGTCCCAACCCCGTGGGGCAGGATGGGTCACAGAATCACACCGTGCGAGCCTGACCCCGTGGGGCGGGATGGATATAGACATACCATCCTGATCCTGCGTCTGTGAAGTTAAACTTAGGGGAAGCCACGCTGGACATGGACTCACACGGCGTGAGCCCGACCTCGTGGAGCAGGGTGGCCTCCCAGCCGGGGTGGGGGGCACGCACAGCAGTTGTGTTGGGGGCTGAGCGCAGTCATTTCACAATGAGAAAAAAGGCAGAGAGTAAAATGAGTAACCAGCCCCTGTTACGGAGCAGAGAGCCGCGGGCCAGCTCATACCTGCTCAGGCCACTGGGCGATGGTGAGCTGGCGCAGGGACCCAGACGCAGGAGCCAGCCAGAACACTGGACGCACCTCAGCTCCAGAAGCCCCAGTGCTCTGGCAACAGGAAAGGCTTGTGGAGCGGGAGGAGGCCTGTGAACGGGACAGTCCCTCCCCAGAGGACAGCTCACTGGACCTCAGCGGAGAGGACGGCAGGAAGGGAAGTGGTGTCCACCACTGAGCCCCCGGCTTGGGTTGTCTCTGGGCTTCCTCAGCTGCTCAGAGGACAGAGACAAGGGGCATTCCACAGGGGACTGGCCAACCCTTGCCGACCTGAGCTGGCATGGGGAGGGGAGGCCATGGAGGGCAGTGTACTACATGTCCTGCATGCTGGTTCCCCGCCGTATGTGCTGATGGGAAGGAGGCCTCAAGGCCCTGTGCTGTTG